TTTCCTGAGAATTACCATTTTGCAATTTTAGGTACAATAATTTACTCGTTATACCTTAATTTGGTAGAGCTTCCGCAACACCTTCTAGCTGCAAATTGAAAACCTTTATAGCCCAAATCGTCCCATTTTCACGTACTCCCTTGTAAACTGAGCCAAAGGCTCCCGAGCCAAGTACCATATCATCATTGAACCCATTTGTCATCTGTCTAAGTTCATGATAGGATACCCTTTCAAGTGTTGCTTCCGGATCAAAATTAGTTGGAATCACAATTTTTCTTCTCCACTTTCTTATCACCAAAAATGAAATGACCATGGCTAAGATTGCTGATCCAAGTGCCAGCAACACAGGCAAGAAAATCTTTTTCTTTGATCTATGTTCAAAAGTTTGACAAGGTTGGAGCCAAGAAGCATCACACAAAGCTTCATTTGAGAGAAAAGATAGTTCTGTAACGTTGGCAAAATTTCCTCCATGTGGAATTGGTCCTCTGAGTCTGTTGAAAGACACATTAAAGTATACAAGATTTGAGAGTGCTTCCAGTGACTTGGGAATTTCACCAGCCAAATTGTTAAATGAGAAGTCCAAATACTGTAACTCCAACATATTCTTCATGGAATCCGGAATAAATCCTTGTATCCTGTTATGTTTCAAGGATAGTGTCTGTAACTTCTCTAGTGCTCCTATGGCTGTAGGGATATCTCCATAAAAGTCATTAACAGATAGGTCCATCATGATTAGCTTCTTCAAATTTCCAATTTCTGAGGACAAAGAACTGCTAAAAGAATTTTTGGACAAATTGAGCTCCAATATATCCCCAAGTCTCCACAAGCTTGAGGGCACAATAGAAGTTAAATTGTTGGAGTCCAGATAAAGATATCTTAGGGAAGTCATGTTCTCTATGCAACTAGGAAGCATACCAGAGACCATATTACTTTTCAAACTTAAATGGCCTAGGTTCAATAGATGACAAAACTGACGTGGAAAAGGTCCCTCTATTTTGTTTTACCCAAGCTTAACTCTCTGAAGGTTCAGTAACCCTCCAATAGTTCTTGGGATGGTCCCTTCCAAGGCATTTCCAGACAAATTGAGGTCTGCCAAGTTGCTTAAGTTTCCAATGGAACTTGGAATATGGCCAATAATTCTACTATTATCTAAATAAAAGGATTCGAGAGTGCTTGAAAGATTTCCAATAGAAATTGGAAGGAAGCCATTCAAAGGATTCAGACTTAACCATAACTGCTTTAGATATCTGCAATTTGATAGGGAAGTCAGGAAGCTTAACTCTCCGGAATGAGATTCATAAGAGAAACTATTATCTCCAAGAGCTAAGACTTCTAGGAATCTTAAGCCACCAAGAGAATGAGGAATTGGACCAGTAAATTGGTTAGAACCGACATCTAAACCTACGAGACTTGAAGCATTTGAGATTGATGTCAATATCATCCCACTTAGTCTGTTTCCCCCAATAAAAAGATATTCAAGATTCGGTAACATAACGCCCAAAGTTGACGGCAAATTGCCCCAGAGATTATTTTGTACCATCGATAATGTTTGCAGTGATGAAATATTGAATAGCCTAACGGGAATGGGACCTGTAAACTTGTTTTCATCTAGTACTAGAAGCTCCAACTTGGTAAGATAACCAATCGCCTGAGGTAGCAAACCTGACAAAGCGAGTTCAAAACTGAGATGCTTGAGGAAAATAAAAGTGAAATAACCTTCCTAAAAGCAAGCTTTAGCTTCTGACTTAGGACGTAACTTGCAACTATTAATATTTTGTCGACTAGGGGCTTCAAGTGTTAATTTTGTTGCAAAGGTATGGTTAATTTGGAAAAGTCTAAATGTAGGGGGTTTGAATGAAGGTTACGCATGTACTTAAATGCTTAAGTCTTAATTTATTTAATTCATAAAATAAAATATGCCTAACAACTACTTGAATTTGAACACCAGATTAAAAGTAGCTGCTTTAGATATCTGCAATTTGATAGGGAAGTCAGGAAGCTTAACTCTCCGGAATGAGATTCATAAGAGAAACTATTATCTCCAAGAGCTAAGACTTCTAGGAATCTTAAGCCACCAAGAGAATGAGGAATTGGACCAGTAAATTGGTTAGAACCGACATCTAAACCTACGAGACTTGAAGCATTTGAGATTGATGTCAATATCATCCCACTTAGTCTGTTTCCCCCAATAAAAAGATATTCAAGATTCGGTAACATAACGCCCAAAGTTGACGGCAAATTGCCCCAGAGATTATTTTGTACCATCGATAATGTTTGCAGTGATGAAATATTGAATAGCCTAACGGGAATGGGACCTGTAAACTTGGTTTTCATCTAGTACTAGAAGCTCCAACTTGGTAAGATAACCAATCGCCTGAGGAATAGCAAACCTGACAAAGCGAGTTCAAAACTAGAGATGCTTGAGGAAAATAAAAGTGAAATAACCTTCCTAAAAGCAAGCTTTAGCTTCTGACTTAGGACGTAACTTGCAACTATTAATATTTTGTCGACTAGGGGCTTCAAGTGTTAATTTTGTTGCAAAGGTATGGTTAATTTGGAAAAGTCTAAATGTAGGGGGTTTGAATGAAGGTTACGCATGTACTTATGTCAGTCTTAATTTATTTAATTCATAAAATAAAATATGCCTAACAACTACTTGAATTTGAACACCAGATTAAAATATTTTATCCTATGTATTCTATATAAATTAATTATAATATTATGCTTTAGTGTCATATTTGATTATCAATTATTAAAGGGCAAATTCCACTTTACCCCCTTGTGGTTTAGCGTTTTTTCACATAACTCCCCTATGGTTTCAAAAGCTATACATAACCCTCTTATGGTTTGGATTAAAGTGTCAAAGTAACGGAATAGTCACTCGTAATGGCGTCACCTAAAATGTCAAAAATACCCTTAACTGTAAGGTTGAAATTTATGTATTAAGGGGGGTTATGTGTATATTTTGAAAATCATAAGGGGGTTATATGGTAAAGTATTAAACCATAAGGGGGTTATATGAAGTTCAGTAAAATATAAAAATCTGCCAAGTAAGGGAACTTGGAATATAATGGATTCGTGCTTGAAAGATTTCCACCATTTATAACCATAACTGGGCAATTTGATATCAGGAAGCTTAACGGACATTATTATAGAGCTAGACTTCCTTAAGCCACCAAGAGAATGAGGAATTGGACCAGTAAATTGGTTAGAACTCTAAACCTTTGAAGCATTTGAGATTGATGTCAATATCATCCCACTTAGTCTGTTTACAAGATTCGGTGCCCAAAGTTGACAAATTAGAGATTATACCATCCAATGACCATACCTGTAAACTTGTTTTCATCTAGGAAGCAACTTGTAAGATATGTGAGGTAGCTGACAAAAGTTCAAAATGAGATGCCCAATTTAGGGGACGGGTTAAAGTCCCACGGGGAATTTGGGTTACCCAATTATTAAATTTTATAGCGTTTTTTCTACAAACTGGTATATTAATATGTCTATGTATGTGTATTGAAATGTATTAACCAAGGGGGGTGTGTATATTTTGAAAATCATAAGGGGGTTATATGGTAAAGTATTAAACCATAAGGGGGTTATATGGTAAAATATAAAAATCATAGGGGGTTAATGTGTCATGTATTTATAAGGGTAATTTCGACATTTTTAGAAGTTCCGTTACGAGTGACTATTTCCGTTACTTTGACACTTTAATCCAAACCATAAGGGGGTTATGTATAGCTTTTGAAACCATAGGGGGGTTATGTTAAAAAAGGGTAAACCACAGGGGGGTAAAATATAATTTACCCATTATTAAATTTTATACCTACAAACTGTATATTAATATGTCTATGTATGTGTATGTGTGTGTGAGAGAGAAAGTATGCATCTATATATGAAAATTTTCCTGTTTGAAGGGAAAAAAAATGCATATTTTTGTGTTAAACTCTTTAGTCTAGAGGCAAATTTCTCTTCTTCTAATCTCTTTTGTCCTAGTCGAACCATCTTTTAGTACAAGTTAGTTTAGGAGTAAGTGTAGTGTTAGATGTTGATGATTGACACAAAAATTTTTTTAAAAAATACTGCATACAATACAAAGAGGATTATGTTCACAAGTATGCTTTGAAATAGAAACTGTAAGAGAGATATTGATCTAGAACGTTTGGGGGCATAACTTGGTAAATTCACGAGTGGGTTCAAGTCGTCAGATCGTGCACGAAAAGGCTGAAGAAAAGAAGCGTGTGCGTGTTCCAACTCAAGAATCAGTGCCAGATCCAAAGAAGGTCGGTGCAGGATCTCAAGCAAGCTGGAATTTTTTTAGTCTACCTAGCACCATGTTGGGCCAAATCTCACATCCGCCAGGCGAGAGTTATTTAGCAATATTTGTGTTTTCTCACTTCGGCCGGTGATTGTGGCGATAATTTGTCGGGGTGAAGAGTTAGAAGCTCAGAATGAGATCTGCAAATCTAGCTAAGAGCTAAGCCTCTATTTCATACTCTGGTTAACAACAAAAGCAAGGGATGGGAGACTCATTGAATTTTTTTTAAGGCATATTTGGCATTAAATTAGCAAATGAGCAATTAGTGATTTAAGGTTTATTTAAGTTTTTGTCGGTATCATTGAACGGGTCCATTTATCACGTAATGGTTGTATGGGAGCAGGGAGTCATTGGAGGGATGATAGTGATGGTGGTTGGAAGCAAAAGGTGAATTAAATTTAAGAGATGGCTAGATATAGAGGAAAAACAAAATGCCATGCCAGTTTGGTTGTATAATAAAGTCATATAGAATAGTGAATTCGGATTCTTTATGTTACACTGGCAACTATTGAACAACACTAGCTTAGCTTAGTCCGATGTTGGCAATTCATTCTAATTTTTTGATTCTAAAATGAACTGATCAGATTTGCCGAGTGAATTTGCTCTGAGCTGGGCCATGCATATGAATGACAATGTTCAATGAGACACATGCGTTTAGCTCTGCAAAAGGTGGATGACATACCAGTCATGTCAGTATTGGCTAAGTGAAGAATCCTCAAATTTTGAAGATTATGAATATCGTCTGCAATTGGACCTGCACACAAAAATCCAGGATTCCCATAAGTTTGGAAAATATACTTTTCTATACTTAGATATATTTGGTCAATGGTTAAAAATGCTCTTGAATGCATAGTTTTGTGAAGCATACGTTTGAATATACATATGTTGGATGTAGGTCAGGTTTGCGTTTGGATTTGGATCTTGGTCCATGATTTTTGGCCCCAGATTATGCCCAAACCATGATTCTATGCTGGGTCTACGTTTGCGCAGGTTTAGTTATGGACAAAATCCGTACGCAAAGACACAAAACTATCATGAATTTGAATGAAATCCAATCCATTAACATACCTTCAAGATAGGTGTTACCAAGACGGATCCTCTCAAGCGCAGTTAGATTCCAAAATTCTTTGGGTAAAGATCCATTGAATTTGTTGTAGGATAAGGGCAAGTTTTGAAGCCTTGAACATTCTCCAATACCAGAAGGAATTTCGCCTTGAAGTTGATTGTATGATAAATAAAGCCCTTGGAGTTGAGAGACATGTTTCTTGCAGATATCCCTCGGAAGGGAACCAGATAAGCTATTGCTCGAAACACCAAGTTTCTGCAGTGACGAGAGGTTAAACAAAGACTTGGGCAGAGAGCCTGTAAGCTGGTTAAAATCCAAGTTCAGCCCGATCAAGTTCTCAAGAGAGCTGAACTCGTCAGGAATATGTCCCGTTATTGAGTTGTTCGGCAACAGGATAGTCTGCAACTTTGTTGCGTTGAAAAACACACCTGACAATGAACCATAAAACTTGTTATATCCCAGAGATAAGTACTGAAGTTCAGATAAAGCTCCCAACCATGAGGGAAGCCTTCCGCTAAAGCTGTTGCCTGCCAAGCTAATGTATCTCAATCGGCGCAAATTAGACAGATCCGGTGGAGGTCTTCCGTGCAAGCTATTATTTGGCAAATTCAGCCGGACCAAGAAAGAAAGATTTCCAAGTTGGGGAGGTATGGTGCCGATTAGGCCCATGTTCGGCAGGTCTATGGCTGCTACTCTCTGATGGCGAGTATTACAAGTGATTCCGATCCAGCTGCACACAGAGGCAGAACTGGACCAGTTGGTCGGGAGGATCCTCTCGGGATCGAATACGGTTGCCTTCAAGGCAAGAAGAGCATCCAGATCACGAGTATTGCCTGCGGAAACAACTTGGACACAAACCGAAGTTGGGGCAAAATGCAACAGTACCACCAAGGCTGCAAGCCAAAGGGAATAAGCTTTGTCCATAGTTATTTGCAATATTTGGATCATGGGCTGCTGAAATGCAACCAAAAGGGGGTGCTTGTTTGATAAATGTATAGAGGCAGAATATAATTCTTGATGGTGCAGTGCTTATGCAGGTAAGTGATTAAAGCCATTGTTTAATGCGTGAAAGGTGTAAATTTATAGGCCGGCTTTGGATTAATTCAACAATCAATGATGTTTGGAATACAAAACTAGGTTTATGTTACAATGTTCTTCAAGCAGGATCTGTCCGATTAGTACTCATGGAGAGGCTTAAATGAAAAATACAAATCACCATTATATTATACTATATAGACAGCACTATGAGTCTTGGTACTTTAGAGTGTAAGTGTAAGCATTGTTATGATCTTAATTTTTATTATTTCAATTATACCCTTATTAATTGATGATTGAAGTTTCATACTATGCTCTTTGAGTTTTTAATTTATTATGATGATTAAAATTCATTATATCATATCTATTGATTTGAAAGAAAATAATGGTTGATGACAAGAAAAAATGTTAAGCAGTAGAGACTAAGTAGGATCGGATCTTTGTTTTCGATCTGTCCAAAATACCCTTCTTCCTAATAATTAGATTTTTTGCATTTCAATAATAGCAATAATTGTAGCAGTTAGAAAAAAAATTGTAACCTTAATTAAATTAATTTGAATTAAGAAGACAATAAACAAAATATAACATTTCAATTAGAACCAACAGTATTCTTAATTCTATTTTCCCCTAACAGTATTGGTAGGCCCGATGAAAAGATGGGGACGGTTTTCTTCAGATAGTCATTGTAGAGAACTGTTGATGACACCATTGAGGAATTTCCATGTTTCCATGAGAGAACCCCAGAAGGGGCCAAAAGCGCGATCAGCCCAGATGACAAAGCTACCATTTCCAAGAAAAGCAATAGAGAGCTCAACTATGAATTGGTGAGAGCTTCACAAGTACTCCAGATAAAGGGAAAGACGAGAAAGAGTATCAAGACTGGCAGACTTTGAAACATGACAACTTCTATAGGGTATATTAACATTGCAAAAGTTAATTGTAAAAATTTTTCCTTCCTAAGGCTATTACACCAAACATGGTTGTTTTTTACAATGAAAATCTTTTGGGATGTGATGACAAAATCCAAATGTTCAAATTTTACTTTCGGATTTTAGCCTGTCTAATGAGCATAGATTTGTCGAAGCTCGGACCAAGTCTTTACGGGTGCAATAAATGGACCCTAATGGTTGTTGAAGGGGGGGGGGGGGGGACCTCAACTTCTAGAATTTGAAGAGTCCCCACGTGTGGAGGACACAAAATTGACAGCGAACCACAACACGCGTCTATTTTGGACCTTTAATCTTAGCTGAGTGAACCCGCTGCCTTAGGGGAAATGGTGGTAAATGCGTTATATTCATTTGTACAACTAGTAGAGACTATCTATTGTATAATGAGTGATATTATTTTACAAGGTATCTAAGATATTTGTGACGCCCCGAAAAAAAAAATGAGATTGAGAACCCGAAAATTTTCTAATTTTCTAGGGTTTATTTTTTTAATTGCCCGCCCTTTCTACATTTTCTTGATTAGAAAAATTCCCCAGATAAAGTTTATGAGCAAAGATAGTTTTGAAATGATTTTTCTAGTATCGATTAGTTTTTGAGAAATTAAAAGCGTTTTTTGGACGTGGGACCCGCTAGTGCGGTAAATGCATTATATTTTTGACAACTTGTAGGAATTTTGTATTGAGTGATATTATTTTACAAGGTTCTAAGATATTTGTCTTGGAGAGACAAGAAGATAATCTCAAGCTTAAAGGGTGACAAGTGTCACCTTGTTATTGAAGGTTGGACTTTGACATTTGACCATCTTACTACCTTTACCAAATAAGTACCAAAATGATCCAAAATTACCTTCATTCTTCATCATCTTAGCTGAGCTTCCCAAGGAGAAAAGAAAGGAAAGCTTTCATCTTACTTCTTCATTTCTTGCTCCAATCAAACAATTTAACCAATTAAACTTGGATTTCCTCCATAAAACCTCTTAGTTTAGTGGTATTAAGGTTGGTTGTGAAGTGGTTTGGAAGACCAAGGAGCTAAGTTGCTTCTTTTCATGGGTTTGTAAGGTAAGTGACTAAGGAACCTTTCCTTTGATCTTGATAATGTTGAATTAGTGATTGGTGGTGGTTGAATAAGTGATTTTATGGTTGATTTCCTGATTTTGGTTGAAAATGATGAAGTTTTATTATTTTTGGGGATTTTTCTGTTTTCATATGGATATGATTATGGGGTCATGTATGATGATTGGAAATGATGTTTAATGACTCTAGGAGGTGGAAAAAGTGATTAATTGCAATCAATTTCTGTTTTGGAAGGAAAAGTGGAAAACTAGGTTTCAATGTTCTTCATTCTGTCCGAATATATAGCTCATAGATAGAGGCCGAATTGGCCTTAGCTTAAAACATGAAAGTTGTAGGGAATGACATTTTAGAGGTGCCTGCAAAATTTCAGGTCAATCGGAATAGTGTAGAGTGAGATAAGTCAAAATTACTATTGCTGTTCTGGTTTTACCCGAATGCAGGAACTGCGATTGTAATTGGTTGTTTTTGTTAGGAATGCTTTGGAATCAGTTGTTGAGGCCTTCTGATGATTTAGAGCCCTGTTTCTAAGCTTGTGGATGGCTTTGGAATTTCTGGATTTGGACTTATATAGGCTGTTTTATGATGTTTGCACTAGAATACGGTTTGTGAACCTGTTATGAGATTCTGGTATAATATGTTACATTTTTGACGTAGTTACACTCGAAACTGGGTTGAGTTACCTTCTGTAATATTGTAGCCCTGTCTCTTAGTTTCGAAACGGTGGGTCTTGCACCTTCATCCGACAATCGTAGTGCCTTTGGTACCATTACCGCAAAATGACGTCAAAACCTGTTTTTCTGGTTTTGAGCTTAACTTTCATTTCCGGACTTTTTCCTAGCTTGACTTGTACTTGTACTACTTGGAGCTTATTGAACGGCTATTGAATGAATTTATTTGTGTGACTTTGGGACTGGCTGAGGAAATAATGAAGCCTTGACGGCTGGAAAAGTAAGCAAATTTAGTGGAAGTGTTGTCCGAACTTTGAAAGGACTTGATTGCATTGAGTTTGTGATCTAAGACTTGGATTTGAGCAAGGCAATGGTGTATGATGGTTGGTTCCTGAGCCGTGGAGGTGAGTGACCCCAAACTATTGTTAAAGCTTCTTATGAAATGTTTCTTGCATTATTTACTCGACTGCATCTCATGCGTGCTTGCATGTGAATTCATGATATGATTTTGGCTTCAATGAGTTCTTGGGGAGTCTTGTGCTGGACACCAACGTCTCCACCTCTGTTTACTTGGAGCAAATGGCTCCGGAGCTCAAAAAGGGACTCCCTCTTAATGTTAATGTTAATGTTAAATGATCTATTTGAGCGTTGGGTGTTCAAGTACTATGATTTCACTGGCTCACGAGAGCAATAAACGGACATTTGTTCTTTGAATCATGACATCATCGAAAGGATCGAAATGCAATATTGTGAAATATATTGATTACTGATTTTACTGGTTACTCACTGAGCTTCTAGCTCACCCCAAAAATATTTTATTCCCCTCCACAGGGCTCGTGGCGAAGGAAGGACTTGTAGTACTTGTTCACGTGATTGGATGGCATATATCTTGTATAATTTGGATTTGGAATCATTTTATGTATAGTTGAGAATCGTTTTCGCTTCGCTTATGACATGTAATTATTGGAGACTTGGATGTATGTTTGTGGACCATGTGATGTAAATATTAGAGATTTATATTGTAATATTTAAGGTTTATTCTTGTAATTCATTTGAGGACTGTAGTGAACGACTGAGTCCTGGCGAGAGTTGGGCAGGCGACCCGCCGAACCCTCTGGTTCGCCTTAGGGGAAGGTGGGGCCGTCACAGACTACCTAATACACATATCATTTCATTTTAAAACCCTGAACATCACTATTTATAATTTAAGGGAATATAAGGATCCGAGTCCGAAATATTGGAGACTAAAATTGCAAAGTCAAAGCTGCTGAATAACAGCAATTTGATTTTTACCATTATTCATTATTGATTTTTAGTTAATTGTTCTAAGTGTGTCTAAAATCAAAAACTTTGAAAACCAAATTTATTTTAATCGAAAACATTACATCCAGTTTGGCACATAGGCCAAACATCATGGATTAAAATTGCACTTTTTCCCTTTATTTCATTCCATGAATTGAGTTGGAAGACCATCGGATAAGTAATTTGGGCGACCGACGGGTGCATTTGGTTATTTAACCAAAAGATAAACGTAATAAACCACTTACACTGTAGACCATATTCGTATAAGAGTTTCTAGTCAACAGCCTTCCTTTCAGATTTATTCATTTTTTTTGTAAGCTCCTTTTCATTTTATAGATCAGCAAAAATTTACACAAGTATGAGGGGCATACCCCTCAATCATATACAGAGGATGAGCAATCAAGCCTCTGTAAAAACAGCAGCTAACTGTATAATCAAAGTATAAGACTACAAATCCCATCAAGGACACCTCAAATTGATAAAGGGACATCTAATTCCATACTAAACTGAAAATTCTCCAATTTCCTTTCCGTATTCCTCCATCCTGCCATAATTCTACGTAAATCCTTTAACACCAACTGCACAACATAATCAGTAGTATATAGCAGTTTTCGAAACACTTGCTTGTTCCTACTGCGCCAAAGATGATAAACTACTGCAGCAAATTCTTAAAATTGAATATTGGATGAATATTGGATATCGGATGATATCGCATATCGATTGAATATCGGATGATACGCATATTATAGCACATAAAAATTTTCAAAAAATCTTAAAAAGTTACTAAAATTAGAAAATATCAAAAAATGCATAATATGAAAAAATATCCGAGTCAACTCCGAGTTAACTTGAATTTATTGGCCGATACCATGTATCACAGATGCGAATAGGCTAATATCGGCTAAGTCAAAGTGACTTGCCATGGATATGGTAATATCTGCGATTTGAGAATCGATATCGTACTGATTCCCACCGTTCCGGTTACGACTCAACCA